ATGAGCAAGGAAAACTAGCCAATGATGAAGTAATGGAATTGCTTTTGTAGTGGCACACAAAGTTCTTGACGCTAGAGCGATTCTTGCACGTATAACATTGCTGATAAAGGGCTCTGTAGAAATATCCTATGCCAAGTTTCGTCAATGACATGTTTTAAGGCACGCAAGTGCCAACTGGTGCATTTAATCTGACACAACCTCGAACCGAATTAGCTTGGGCCGGGCAGCAGCGGCTGTTAAGTTGATCACGATCAAAAAAAAAAAAAAAGATCCGTATCGCCCTGATCGCGAATAAAGGTGCCTGTGTGACACCGGTACGATGTCTCAAATACCGGTGGGCAGTTTTACTTTGACCGTAAGAGATCGCTTATGCAATACCGAATCACTGGTCTATACACTTTTAATTAGGTCCTGGCTAAATGCGGTCTATAGAGGAAGCCAGACAAAAAAAAAAGGGGGGGGGGGACCGGTTTCCTGGTTATACTTGGCACTTTAAGCGGGGCCTCATTGAAAGTGTAGAGCAGCAACAAAGCTGAATGCAACATTTTATTTTTTTTGCGATGCATTGTGTGACGTAGAGCACGTAGAACTTCAATCGCTTTCCATAATGTTTTTTATCTATCTGCTGGTGCAAGGCGTTCATCATCTGTTATATTATCGCCATATAATACATAATATTATCACTATATAAGCAGTGCTTGGTTGCATGTAAAAGCCCCGCCACGGTTGTCTAGTGGCTAAGGTACTTGGCTGCTGGCCCGCAGGTCCCGGGTTCAAATCCCGGCTGCGGCGGCTGCATTTTCGATGGAGGCGGAAATGTCGTAGGCCCGTGTGCTCAGATTTGGGTACACGTTCAAGAACCCCAGGTGGTCGAAATTTCCGGAGCCCTCCACTACAGCGTCTCTCATAACCACATGGTGGTTTTGGGACGTTAAACCCCACAAATCAATCAATGGTTGCATGCAAGATACTTCTAATGATGTAATATCTGGAGTTTTACGTCCCGAAACTACGATATGATTGAGGGATGACGTAATGTCGGGAAATTTGGGCCAACGACTGGCGTTCTTTAAAGTTTTCTGGCATTGCACGGTGTACTAGCCTGCAGCGTTTCGTCTCCGTCGAAATACGACCGTCGCGGCCTGGACCGCATCCGCGACCTTCGTGCATGTCAGCGGCCGATGTACCGTAAACTACTCCACCACCGGGGCGGACTGCAAGCAGCTCCTGCTAGCCTGTCGATGTAACGATGCTTGCAGCAACATGCTCGTGCAACCGCGACCGATACGATAACATTTGTGACACGTGGGCGAAACGCAAGCTCTCATTGGCGAAGACGCCAACTCGCATGACGCAGTACCATGTCTTGTTGAAACTTGTCTTTGTTGAAACAAGTCTTTGTTGAAACATGTCTGTTGAAACGTGGCTCGATCGGCAGGCTGGCGGTCATCGTTTGGCGTGTTGTGTAGCGTTTCCAGTTTTTCTGTACGGATTACTGGCTGTTATCCGAAGTCAAGTGACCGTCCCCATCCTGTTTTCCGCGTATTTTGCATCACTGTTCTGTGAAACGAGTTTTACGGTTGTTTTTGCCGATGGTTCGTTTCAACAATGGTCGGGTCACCTTCGTTGCCACCTTCGTTGCCGATAGGAAGCAGATAAAGACGTCGCACATTTGGATGACCTACTTCTTTCGGCGAGTGAAATGACCCGCCATTCACTTTTCATAATTTCTAGAACAGTGCTTTAGAATTGGAATTAAAACGGTAAGTATGACAGTTGTTTGCTACTGGTTGAATCTTGGTCGAACTCGTAACATTGAAACGCACAACAGAGTGAATCGTAAGCTAGTCAGACTCGATCTGTTTTGGGTAATCTTGTTCTTTTGCCGGTTACAGCTCGTGTGTGGGTGTGTGAGTGAGAGTGACAAGTGGACATACTTGTAGGCAAGCATGCTTACAACTATGCCGGCCTGTCGCTGACAAAATGCGACGCTTCCTTCGTAGTTGCCTCGCCTGTCAGTGGAGATATGATTTATCTACAAACACATGAGAACGTTTTATCACATATTTATTTGGAAATCTGTCTTATGTTTCCGAAATCATACGTAGCCTACTTACTTTTTTTTCTTGTATACCTGTTTTATTCACTGCTGTTTGTACAAGACATCCTGCCTGGGACCGTGCCTCAAATGCTACCGCCAGTGCCCTTTACTTGACGGGACCCAGAATGCATCGTATGATAGTCATTGTTCATGAAGTTTCATGCGAAGACTTGTTTCTTTTTGAAAGTCACTTGCAGTTTTTAAAGTACAGACTTCTGCGCCTCGAAATATCTTAGTTGCAGTATACTACGTTGACAAAAAGAAAAATTGGGTTAATGCTACCGAAGCATTGAACTTGGCATGCGCCAATGCAGGGTCACTGGCAGCACTTTTTTTTTTCAGGAAAGGAGGGGGGGGGGGCTGGCAAACGGTCATTTTGTGCTATTTATGCCATGGCGAAAAAAATGCTTCGCACGAACCGGGTATGTAAATCCCTGGCTACGCGTCTGTAAATCCCTGGCTACGCGCATGACAAGAACTTTCGCTCTTGTCATGCGCAGTAAGCCGAGGCTGGCGTAAACGTCCCGGTCGGAGTGCGTACGCGTCGACCTCGACCAATCGCGTGGACGAACATTCTATGAGAGAGTCTTAGTGCCCCGTACTTCAAGTTGCCTGCGTGCGCACGCTCTAGCGTTCCTTTGTACGCATCGCCGCACCTTCGGAGAATACAAAGCAACACACGGGTTCACGTGCGGAAGCCGCTTTGGGCCCCAACGCTAAAATTCTCTATTGTGAGGCTTCATAAGGCAATGCATGTCCGACGAACGTCTCTTGATTTTAACGATATCCCCACGCACGTCCGGTGTACGTTGATTTAGTCGGGGGTCTTCCCGTAGGACCGAGCCAGCCAATGTCTCGAGGAGATGTCGTGCAGAGGAGCCTGGGCTGAAAAGAACAACAATGATTTATAGTATTGACATACTAGCGGTAGCGTGAAGGCGGTAGCATCACGGAAGCTCTCGACGGGAGCTTGTCTGAATGGGACTACCCACTCGTTACGCAATCAGCATTGTATGACACCTCTTGTTCCTTTGCTGTTCTGAAATGCTTAATTTAATACGCATAAAAACACGATTCTTTCCCCGACATCAAACCTGCGTAAGGTAAGATTGTGTATACAAGGCCTGTACACCGACGTTGCTCTGTGGTAGAATACTGGGCTGGCACGCAGTGGACCCGGGTTCAAATCTCACTGTGTCGTTACTGTTCTTTATTTTAGTTTTTTTATGCGAAACATTTCTTAGCAAACTTCGGCGACCTTGAGCGTACCTATATGTCCATCTATCTAGCCGCTTACGTTTGGGTGCTCTCGTGGTCACTGCCTTAGCGTGAACCATTGCATGAGAGGGTAAGATGGTTTGACGAACATGACGCGCTTGTCAAGACATGAATAATGGCACAATCCCGTCGCGTACGTCGTCAAACACTTTCCGCCAAACAGTGACACATAGCCACGGGCGGGTATGTGCCACAGGTGATTGACACTATACTCAGAAACGACGAGAACACACATGAGCAATATTGACGCGTGAGTGTTAAGAAATACCCGACATCAATTGCATCGACCCGGCGAATGCAAAGAATAAATGCCATGGTCCCAGCTGGAATCGAACCCAAGCATTCTGCGTGGCAATGGGATATTTTACCACAGAGCTACGCCAGGTCTCGGAACTACTTTTCAAGTAGACGCTAATCTTCGCGAAACGTCAATAGTGGTTGCAGTGATAAACATTACATATGTACTCCTTTGATACAGCCGTCACGTCAGGTTATCGTAAATTGTGGTTAGGTACCATGCGCTGAAGTTGATTTATGTAGCAGTGTCCAGGGCCAGCATCCTCGCCAGCACCAGCGCTTCAGATCAGCTTCTGGTGCTGCTAGTAGGCATGTTCCAGTTGGCATGGTTGCGCAAGGGCAAAAACTGGTTATATAAACGTCTGGAACTCTTCAACATATGTCTGTGCGTGTAACATTTGTACATATATTTAGCGTCATTTCATGACGTGTCACTCAATAAAAAAGTTGCAACACGGTCACCTTCCCTACGCATGCTTCACATAACGTCGATTCCCAGGAACGTGGTATCTGCCGAAATTTTCTTATTTCGTGTGTTAGTGGTTACGGACACCGGCAGCGGCGGACAACTACGGCGCCGCGCGTGATCCGTGTTGTGATCTCTGCATAGCAGCTTTCGCTGTAAAATGAAGTAACACATCCTGGAAACCTCCACCTTTGAAAGCTTATACACTGTGGGCGAACAAGGGTGAATGACGCACGTTAGAAGTGCACTCAGAGGAAAGAAAAGATGAAACGACTACAATTGTTTGAATTGTTCCTCTGCTTGTGTGCACATCTGCACCGCATAATAACCTTGGAGTGCCATACTTACTCACCCTGGTTGAAAAACTATTGCGGCCCGTGCACACAGCATTTCTGTTCAAGCATTTTGTGCGATGTCTCACTATTATAAATATCATGTGCCTGTGAACAACAAATACGGAGCTTGCAGTGACGCTCTAGAATGCTTTATGAAATGCCTGTCCTTTTAAATTATATGTACTCGCGTCACCAGCTAAGCATCCTCAGTTTGAACATGCACATATTAAAAAAAGCAGGCTGAAATGTTCGTTTTGTTTCGTTGAAAGCGTCCCTGAATTGGAAAGTTTTTTTTCGAATCCAACCCAAATAATGAAGATAAGGTCTGTTCAGTCGGGCAAGTGGTAGCTACCAAGAGCCGAGTGGTGTGACGTTAACCTGACTCCACACGGTGAACGATGGGTGTCATAGCGTAGTTTGATGTCATTATTGTACATCGTGTCGCTTCTTTGAAGGCGGTACTTATTAGTACCGCCTTCAAATAAGCGACACAATGTTGACACACAAATAAGCGACACACAAA